TATCTCAAAATTTTAAAGAGAGAACAACTTATATATATATGCCAAAAATAAGGGTAACTACTATGAAGGGTTAGAATATGACTCTAAAAATGAAAAATAAAAATGGTTTTTAAAAAAGGGATTGATATGATGTTGGTTTAAAAAGGGAAAAAGAAAAATTCAAAAAAAATAAAAAACGACAGTTAAAAAAAATTAACTTTGAAAGACTAAAGAATCATGGTAAAAAAAGCCATGGATTCTATGTGCAGTATTCCCCTAGCTCTGGCGTTCTGCCATTCTCATTGATCGGTAAACTTGGTCTTGGCCGGCTCTTCTTGCTGATCTTCTCAGGGAGGGGCCTGTTGCCGAGGTTCCCAAATGTCTTTGCTGGAGGCGGAATTGCCCTGCCCTTGCCGGTCCGGGCTAAGTAATCTGCTCGGGTTTGCTCTCAGGAGCTTTTGTTCCCTATAAGCTTTCCGTACAGCTTTGGAGGATGAGAGTGAAAATGGCGGCCTCCCAATCTCCGCACGGAGTAGCGGAGAACTCGGGGGCCCCACTCCTCAGTGCGCCCCCAGAGAAAAGCAGTCAATCTCTCCCATCTCCCCAGTCTCTGGCCGCACTCCGTGCTCACCCAGCCTGTGACCGAGCGTTTCTACACAGATTATAATTTTGATTAGTTTATTTCTTCATGTAAGTTTTCTTACTCATGTACTGTATTTTTCCATAATTTCTTTTCAGGACTTTGCTCTCTTCCTTGTTGTGGCTACATCTAGATTTACAGAATAGAAAGATACATTCAGGATTTTTAACCTACTGTTGAAGTGCAAGCTCACAGTATAAACTTACAGGCATAAAATTATTGTCCTCCCAACTCTATGGAAGGAAGTGTAACTTTCCCACATAAAAACTAATAAGTGGTGTGTATTATTATTATTTTTTACAGTGCCTCATATAGGAAGCAAAGATATTTTTCTATGAATAAATACAATTATGTTTGGTCTCCTATTTGTCTCCATTCTGTAGTCAGGATTGCTCTTCATATTGGTGTTTGGACATGAATTTATTTTATTTGATACTCTAGTGGCTCAACCAATAGGTGTAATGGGGGGCCTTCCATATTTCCAGCACTTATAGGTAAATAAGTTGTTTCTTCTGGACTTCTCCAGACAGTATGGCATTTTGTGAAGAACAGAGAAGTCAGATTCAGAGGGCTGACTCCTCTGGATGATACTGGGCTGTGTGTGTTCTTACTCATTTATTCAGTCTCTCTGAGCCTCAGCTTAGTCTCTTGTTTATAAAACAGCCTTCACAATAAGACCGATCTTATTTTACTTAATGTGAATGTGATTTATTTCTAATAGGATATTGAAAAGGTAAAAATCTTCATTTCAGAGGTGCCTGGGTGGCTCAGTTGTTGAGCGTCTGCCTTCGGCTCGGGTCATGATCCCAGGGTCCTGGGATCGAGCCCCGTGTCGGGCTCCCTGCTCTGCGGGAAGCCTGCTTCTCCCTCTCCCGCTCCCCCTGCTTGTGTTCTCTCTCTTGCTGTGTCTTTCTTTGTCAAATAAATAAATAAAATCTTTAAAAAAAAAATCTTCATTTCTATCACCAACCCAAACTTCATGATGAATTTTGATAATCACCGGTCTTTTATAGTATATATACTATTTAAGAATATTTGCCTTTTCCAAACTTTTGACATTGTATATGTTTGAATTTTATTGATGAAATTTATTGTCAAACAGCAATGGGAAAGTTACATTGCTAATTTCAGGGGTAATTTATAAAAAGATTATGGAGTTTTATTTCTTACCATATAAAGGTTACAAGATTTTTTTGTTTCTTTGTTTATTTGATCTTACCATGTATATTATGATTCATAATGGCGAGAAGAAAAGAATCTATGGTTAAAGATGTTTATTTTTATTGTTGTTAGAAATCCATTACTTTATATTTGGTGTTAAAAGTTGTAGGGTTTGTTTTTTTTTTTAAAGAGACAGTGAAATCACATTATTTTCTTTTAAATATGTGTATAGCATAGTTTTTGAATCCCAACCACGTTGCAATATTTTGCACTGTTATCTCTCCTAGATTATCACGAATTCTGTAAGAAAGAGCTGAATTACATTTTTTAAGGACACTAATGAGCAAAAAGCTGAAGATATGGGAGGGGCTGAAGAACTTCCACTTAAGTGTAGAACCACCTTTGTAAATATATATCACAGTAATTTTTCAAGTGGAAATGTTTTAATTTACTGTTTGCTAACGATTGCTGGAGTCACAATGTCTGCTTATGGTACAGAAGGATTATTTTAATTTGATTTCTGGCTAGTGGTCTTTGAAGCTGACTTAATTCCAAATATAAATATGTCTTATATTTTCTCTTTTTAGGAATATTTCAAGACATAATGTCATTTTCTTTTATTTTGGTCTGTGCTGCATTGTTCTGTTGACTGTGTTTTTATTTTCTTATTGTACAGTCATTCCATAGAAGCAGTAACTTTTGAGAACCTGAAATAAGAAAGGATATCACATTGATATTTTAAAAAGGCCTTTCAAATACCATGGGCAGTACAGATAAATGCACATGAGTAGTAGTCTTGGGTGGAGGAATAAGAGAGTTTAAACATGAGATTTTTAGTATAAGTATTAAGCATAAAAATGTAATTTGTTCTTACAAGTTATTACCAATTAAGAAAGGATGAATAAGAAGGACAAATTTAACTTTTGGAACATTCAAGTCATCATTCTAGGTAGCCAGATTTTTTCATACAAGGGTATAGCTTCAAATTATCATTTTTAGGAAAATAATCTGTTTTAGATGGAAATTTTTCCAATTGTCTTATTAATCAGGGCACACTGAATTAATTTTTTTTGATTACTTAGGGTTATTGTTATGAGCATAAAGTATAGGACTACATTACTACCATTGAAGGTAAATGGGATAGCCCAATACTAGAGGAATCCAGACTTCCATAGTTTCTGATTGTCCACTTTTATTCTGGTTTAGATATGGAAATATCTGTAAGTCAGAAGAAATAGATGCTAATAATGGCCTTGTCCACCTTTTAAATTTTTTTTTCCGCTGAAAAAATCTTCAGTAAACATCAATACAATGTAAATTCCCAAACCAGAGTAGCAATATAAAACTCCTCCGAATTGATGTCACAGAAATGTCAATAGATGGCGCTTCACTGTTGCCTTCTAACTGTGTGGACTAATGTGATCATGTGCTCTGAATCCCAAACAATTTTGTATCAGTAATAACTAATAATTCAATTCAGGAAAGATTTCTGACCATCTGTATACTGATTAATGAAGGGATAAAAGGAAACTTGAAACACTTAAATCTCTCAAAATTTAATCTTAGAATGTGGAAAGTCTTGTCATGGACCAGCTACAGTACCAGGCTGAGCAAATAGGCCTCCCTTACCCCAGCTTCCTGAACTTAAGTGACGTTTACTTTGAATAAGTACAAGCACATATTTAGCAAATTTTTATTTAGTCATGTATATATGTATATAATATACATATATAATACATAATGCAGATATATATCACAGATATAACATGTGCTGTACACATATATTACATATAATATATAAACAGTTTATGTATTTATATACATTTATGTATTCATATAAATATTTTGGCCATATATTCATCTAACATTTTCTTTTATTCAACAGAAATCTTCTTGACAGAGATACATTCTCTAAATCTGATCCAAGTAAGTATCTATTACTTGTTTTTTGAAACAGTCTACTTATTTTTCTAACCTGACTTTGCAAAAATTGTATGAAACTTACAGTTCTTGTTTAAATATTTGTTTTAAAGCACAGAAAGCAAGACGGGGGATGGTGTCAAGCCCTGCATTCTCATCTACCTGGGCAGTAGTCTGGCTAAAGAGAGGGAGTTGCTTAGCACTTTGAGAATAAGATGAAAATGCAAATGTAAGATAGTTCACTTTGAAATTAAAACCAGGGGCGCCTGGGTGGCTCAGTTGGTTGGTCCGCTCAGGTCATGATCCCAGGGTCCTGAGATCCAGCCCCACATTGGGCTCCCTGTTCAGCAGGGAGCCCGCTTCTCCCTCTCCCTCTGCTTGCCCCTCCCCCTGCTTGTGCTCACTCTCTCTCTCTGTCAAATAAATAAATAAAATCTTTAAAAAAAAAAAAAACCCAAAACCTCATGGTATGGCATATGATAGAAATTATATTTGAAAGGTGACCACAATGGACCATAATTTTAAGTGATTTAGTCCCAGAGTAATACTTTTCCTTCTTTTTTTGTAAATAAAAAGAGCATGTAAAGGCATGCTTAACCAAGAGAAATATATAAAATCGTTTTGGATGAACACAATTTTTTGATTCCTAATTATGTATATTAAAAAATTGGAGATAACTTGTAAAATGAGAAAGTTTAAATTAGAAAACAGCAACATTAATGTATACATCAACAAGTGTTTCCATTCTTGCAATAGTTAGAAATTTATATCCTGCAACTCTCCATCTCTACAAATATATGGGCAAATGTGGGTTAACTACAGGGGGGGAGGTTTTGTGAGATGTTAGAATTTTTGAGGTAGTCATTGGGGAAAAGGCATTACAGTTTGTGGGTATTAAAAATTTCTGGGGCTCACTTGACAAATGAGTGGGACTTTTTTTTTTTATCCCTTAATCTTTACCCCAAACACTTCATTTCTCTTTTTGTGACTTCCTTTTGTGGTTGACAAGATTTCTTACCTGTTTATAGATATTGAGGGTGGGAGTTGCACATATTAAATGTAGAGGATGATATGCTCCAGATTGTCCTTCCTGTGATGGTTGAGCATTATGGGTATCTTAGGAAGAGCTTGACTAATGTCTAGTAACATACTGAAATATTTCAAACTGTTAAACTATAGTTTAAAAACTTATGTGTATCTGTAGTATAATGTAGATGAAGACATTAGCAAATAATTATTTTGTGTTTTTGTTCCTCGGTCTATGCATGTTAGGTTCTAAAGATCTGATACAGCTTTTTGTTTCTTTGCAAAAGTTTTTAGTCATTTGATGTTTTACTAGCAATTTTCTTACAAGAGTAAGGCCAGGAATAATTTATATACATTCATATATTTATAAAACACATTTATATATTTACTTTTTCTTCTCTTACAGTTTGTGTCTTATATGTGCAAGGAGTTGGAAATAAAGAATGGAGAGAGGTAAGCATTAACAGTTTTTAAAATATCATTGCACTGAAAAATATGGTCTAAGTTACAATTTGGTCAAGATGATACTGCCCTGATTTTAGCTATTTTAAGTTTTCTTCAACCCAAAGGTTGCATTTTTTTAATTTATGAGAGTAATCTTTGTGTTTGTTTTTATTAATCCTCAATGTTTGTCTGATTTATGACCTTCCTGTAGAATATTCTAGCCTTGAAACTTGTATTTCCCTCAGTGTAAAGTAAATTTAATGTGTTGCAATCCTTGCATAATTGAAGGCTAGACGTAGTCTCACTTTTAGAGGTCAGCTGCTGATGGTCATAAAATACTGCTTTAAAGGGTTTTAAGTGTGGTGTTTGATATCAACTATCACCTGCACTTTGCCAGTTAGTAACTTATTATTTGAAAATAAAGTAGAAACTCAGTTTCCTAATGCAAGCATACTTTGTTACTTATTTATTTATTAATTGTTATGTTCAGTTAGCCAGCGTATAGTACATCATTAGTTTTTGATGTAGTGTTCAACGATTCATTAGTTGCATGTAACACCCAGTGCTCATCACAACACAAACGTACTTTGTTTAATGAAATAAAAGCAAGGAGACAGAATTATTGTTTCAGTTAATTTGTATTCTAGAGTATCTCCACGTTCAAATGGAAGGATGATCACTGGAGGGGATCATATTTTATTTTATTTAAAATAAAAGACATTTCTATCTGCTTGTAGTTGCTGGTTATCCTAGCAGGTTAGTGCATTGTCTTAATGAGGTTACAGTTTCTGGTGAGATTTCCCTAGTGAGATTTGCGCTATTTGTTGCCATAGATTGCTTTGCAGCCAGCCATTTTACCAGTGTGTCTCAACTGTGAGAAGATAAGAATAGGTCACTGTAATTTAATCTCAAAACTGGTAGAATAAGCCAATTCAGAAGTTGTTCCTACTGACAGTGGGTCAGCGGGATGCTGAGCACCAGGTTTTCATATTTAACTGCTCCTAGACATTTCCATGTGGTTATTTGAGCTTTATTTCAAACTCTACATACCTGATGGTAATTTTATCAGCTCTACCCTATCACTGCTGCGTCTTTGCTCCACATATAGCTGATAACGTCACCAGCCAAAATACCAGACTGCGAGTTTTGCAGCCATCTTGACTTTCCTTCCCACACCTTCTTTATTTATCACTTATCCAGTGGTGTGAATTCTCTTTTGTTAAAAAAAAAACCAAAAAACAAAAAACTCAAATGAGTCACCTCCTTCATCCAGACCTATGTTATCTTTTGTCTTGTATGTTAGAACATTCTCCTGAGTCCATGCTCCTCTTTCTTGTTCCTCTAATTATTCCTTTGATTATTTTCCAAAAAGATAGGCTGTTTTCTTGTCATTTGCTCTAGAGTTCCCTTTCTCAAAGGCCTGGGGCAATCCAGGGGAACTGCTGACTGACCATAAGAGTCAAGCTAGCTGGGGATGAGCACTTGCCAGGAGTGTTCAGAAAATAACATTACTTGGGCGCCTGGGTGGCTCAGTTGGTTAAGTGACTGCTTTCGGCTCAGGTCATGATCCCGGAGTCCCGGGATCGAGTCCCGCATCGGGCTCCCTGCTCGGCGGGGAGTCTGCTTTGCCCTCTGACCCTATCCCCTCTCATGTGTTCTCTCTCATTCTCTCTCTCTCAAATAAATAAATAAAATCTTAAAAAAAAAAAAAGAAAATAACATTACTCGAGGGACCAATAAAGGAACTGAGATAAATATTCATAAGGTACGGGACCAGGCATCTGGGCCAATGCAGATCCCTAGTGATGAGGCTTTCCTATTGCCTATGCAAGATCTTTTATACTCACTACTGTTCTCAGCCCTTCAGATATATTGGCCAATTTATTGTTTGCACAATAACCTTAAGAAGTGATGCTATTACTGGCGCCTGGGTGTCTCAGTCGTTAAGCGTCTGCCTTCGGCTCAGGTCATGATCCCAGAGTCCTGGGATCGAGTCCCACATCGGGCTCCCTGCTCGGC